TCTTCAGTCACCACAGCAGCACCGATGCTGCCCTTACATCTATTAGGAAACAGTGACCTTACCTGTTACATAAAGCTCTCCATGCTTCCTGGGAGTAACACAGCCCTGCTAAAGTGTGTTCATCAAAGAACACGTTCTAAGCAGCGTGCATCCATAGAAGCTGAAGCAGAAACTTTCTGAAGCACTTCAAAATTCAGGAACACAAGTTTGAGGCATTGAGAGTTTCAAGATCCATCTGTCTTGCCCAACCAAAAAAATCCTCACCAGTTTCCGCAGTGTTTTGATATCCCACAACATCAGTGCCTCAAACATGTAAGGAATTCCTTTGGTTAGTTCACAGATACCAACTCCAATCACCCCAAATTCACCCAAACAACCAAAGCACTGCTCCTGTCTGCTAGTCAATCAAAAAGTAAAGCACCTATTTTCCCATCAGGCCATAGCATGAATTGATATGAAACCACACTTCCTCGCAGGAAAAGCTGCCTCCCCCCAGGCTGGCCTTGCAGGGATGCAGAATCATTCCAGCCCTGGAGCTGCACGAAGAGGACTTTATCCTTTCTGAGACCCAGCCCCATAGCCAGCCTGGTGTGCAGGTGCTCAGCTGATCACTGTTTGGTAACAGTGCTGCACTTTGCAGGACAAGGAGCAGTACACAACCTGCACCTGCAACGTAAAACCTAACTGCAAATGTGCATTCAATTACTGCAGCAAGTACAGAAATCACTCCAAGACGATACTGTAGAGCTACATAACTCTTGAAACTTTGGGCCAAACTTGATTTAGACTGAGGAAGAACGCCTCCCCTTGAAAAACTAGAAGTTGAGCAGGTCCAGCCTTCCTGAATCTTTCTGAATCTCCCTTAGGCTCCAAGACAGTGGTTCTGCTTTGGTAAAGAGCTGATCCCTGTAACTTGGTTTCTAGAAAGAGAAGAGAAAGCTTTCCCACCACCTTCTATTGGCAACTCACTTGCTTCTTTACCCAACTGCCAGCAGCAACATAATTCATTAGGGTGCATTAGCTATGAGTCTCCACAATCAACCCAACCATCCAGAAACAAATGTTAATACTTCACACTATTAAGAATGACATGAATAGAGAAAGGAGCCTGTCAGACCAGTGAAAATCTGTTCCAGGTCCATCATTCTCACGGAACCACCTCAGTTATAAAGAACCAACTTCTCCCATCACTATGATCAAACTGTAGAATTCATTTTGTTTTATTTATTTACAAAACATCACCTGTAGGAGCTGTCTAACACTATTTTAAGCACAGGCACTCAAGGCATTTGAACATACAGCTTCTCAAAGGGCTGGCAGCTGAAGCAAAGCAGCAGGGCTGAACACACACTGCCTGGCAGCAACACACCTCTCCCTTCTCCTGCTCTCGCCATCACTACCTTCTCCCCCCAAAACCTTGGTAAGTCAACTCACCTTTAGAGCTTCCCTCCTGTATCCCACTTGCTGGCCCCAGAGCCTGATTGCTGCTCACGTTTACCAGCAGGCCCAGCCAGTCAGAGCAGCATCTCCCCGAGTACCATGTTTTCAAAACAAGTAACTTTTGCTTTGTTGTGGCTACGCACAGGCATGTCAGCAAAGGGGACTGCTACAGGAAACGCTGGCACAGAAATCTCAGGGAGCTCTCAGTGCCTCAGAAACCTCCTAACACAGAAAACAGATGAAAGGTGAAGCGTACGAGACTGATAGGGGAACGCTAAAGCAGAAGTACTCTTATTAGCAAAACACTTTGACAATCTTTCTGATCCCTGCAGCACTCCTATCAGCACAAAGACAGAATCAGGAGCATCGATGCCCTTTACACTTTTCCTAGCATCATTTAGAAAACAAAGGGGCTCGAACAATTTTCTCTTTTAAACCTAACTGAAAGGCTTAAATGAAATAAGCACACCAGAATGTTTAAAGGGCCGCATTTTAAAAGAAGCCCAAGATGAGACCTGCCCTACACGGTCAAAGCATTCACCCACCATCCCACAGGACACACCAGCAGGTGCCTGTGCAGCAAAGCCCCACACTGGCTGAGCGCAGGGTTAGCACCCAGCCCGACCCCAGCAGTGCAGGGTGTGCCTCCTGCCCCCCTCACCGTGCCATGAGGAGTTCAAAGCCCATAGAATGAAGCTGATGGCCATTTGTGTTCTTGCCCATTTTACAGCCCGACGTTTTTAATCACGCGCGCCCCAATCCCACACACACAGAGGATGTGAACCTTGGGTCCTTCAAGCACTGCAGCACCAACCAGAAGCTCCACACGAAGGCTCTTCCTTCCTCTCAAACGCTGCTCGCTGAGTTTTCCCCTCACGCTCTGCTCTGCTCTCCTCTCCTATCATTCCACTTCAAAGCTCACAAAGGCTTCAGGTTTTCAGCTCCTGTGCCTCTTTCATCCCACCAGACCGTAACACCTTCCCGGCCAGCCCACACCCGGCGTCCTCGCCCCGCAGCGCCGGGCCACCTCCACCCCCTCCATAACGGCAGCGCACATCGGAGCGCTTCCCGTTTTTTGGGCCGCGCGGCTGGGGGCTCGAGCCGCGATCCCATCACAGCGATCCCATCGCGGCGCATCCCGCACCGCCCCGCTCCCCCCGCAGCTCCGCGCCCGCGGTGCCGCCCCGCGAGGCGCCGCCCGGCCGCCGCCGCCCCGCCGCAGGCCCGGCCGGGAGGGCCCACAAAGGGCGGCGCGGGCGGCAGGTGGGAGCGGGCCGCGGCCGCGCACTCACCGGAGCCGGGGCGGCGCCGGCCGCCCTCCGGGACGGACGAGGGGGCAGCGGGGCGCGGCCGCCACACGGCGCCTCTGCAATGGCGGCGGCGGCACCCACCGAGGCGGCGGCGGCAGGAGCCGGAGGGGGAAGCGGAACCGCCGCGCGTGGCCACAGCCCGCGAGGGGCGGGGCGCCGCCAACGGGACTACGGCACCCGGCAGCCCTCAGCGGCGCGGGGGCCGACGGGAAACGCGGGGCGCTGCGCCGCGCCGGGCGGGAAAGCGGGGCGCGGAACGGCGCGCTCCCCTCGGCTCCGCTTTCCTTTCCCACGGCGCGGCCTCGCCGCTCGCTGCCGCGAGCTCACCCGGCTCCCGCTCCAGCCCGCCCTCGGAACGCTCAGCCCTCTGCCATCCTCTCCCCAGGCGCGTCTTTTTCACAGCATCACCGAGGTTGGAAAAGACTTTCGAGATCGTGCAGTCCAACCACCCCCCCCATCACCAACAGCTCTCACTAAACCACGTCCCTCAACGCAAAATCCAACCCTTCCTTGAACGTCTCCAGGGTCGGTGTCTCCACCACCTCCCCATCCCAGTGCCTGACCACTCTTGCAGAGAAGCAGCATTTCCTAACGTCCAGCCTAAATCTGCCCTGGCACAGCTTGAAGCCATTCCCTCTGGTTCTATCACTGTTACACGACGCTGCTTTGTTGTGATGTTAATTTGCGACTCAGCTTTATCCCCTTCTGTCAATCCCCTTAATTCGGTCCTCACACCTATTAGCGATGCTGTACCCGACCTTTTATCTGTTCTCTCGCCAAGAGCTCAAGCTATCACCACTATCACCCCAATTCTCCCTCCACAGAATGCTCCCACACGGCACAGGACTGCCTCACGGCTCCCCTGCACCTAGCAGCGATCCCTGCAGGACCGGCACTGACGTTCAGCTCCATGGGGCACCACACCAGGGCACACCTGTAGCTCCTGGTGCCACACAAAAGGCCACTGAAACCCCTCTTGGCCCCACATCCCAGCAGCTGCACTCCAACCTGTTCTGAGGTCACTGTGTTCAGCGCTGTGCTGAGCTCCTCCTGCCAGTTTCTCACCTGAGCGCTGATGCAGACTCCTCGCACTGTCACACACACACATCACCAGACAAACCGTCTTATTTTTACCACTTGGGATATTTTCAGCTGTCCCAGTGAAACGAGGTTCCTTTCGCTGGGCTCTGATGTCAGGTAGCTTTAGCTAGCCCCTGCTTTTCAACTGCTATCACCTGACACTTAAGAAATCCTGAGCTTTCAGAAGACAAAGCCGAGCTGAGCAGCAATCTGGAAGCACTGCCCTTCCACCAGTCAGACTGCTACACAGAACTGCACGGGAGAGAACACAGAATCACAGAATTGTAGGGGTTGGAAGGGACCTCCAGAGCTCATGGAGTCCAACCCCCTGCCAAAGCAGGTTCCCTACAGCAGGTCGCACAGGTTGGCATCCAGGCAGGTCTTGAACATCTCCAGAGAAGGAGACTCCCCCACCTCCCTGGGCAGCCTGTTCCAGTGCTCCGTCACCTCACTGTAAAGAAGTTCTTGCGCATATTTATGCAGAACTTCCTATGCTGCAGTTTCCAGCCGTTTCCCTTTGTCCTGTCTCCACTCACCACTGAAAAGAGTCCGGCCTCGCCATTCTGCCCCCCACACCTCAGATACTGATAGACCTGGATCAGGTCCCCTCTCAGTCTTCTTTTCTCCAGGCTGAACAGACCCAGTTCACTCAGCCTTTCCTCATAGCAGAGATGCTCCAGGCCCCTCACCATCTTTGTGGCCCTCCACTGGACTCTTTCCAAGAGATCCCTGTCTTTTTTGTACTGGGAGCCCAGAACTGGATGCAGTGCTCCAGATGAGGCCTCACCAGGGCAGAGTAGAGGGGCAGGATCACCTCCCTCGACCTGCTGGCCACGCTCTTTTTAATGCACCCCAGGATGCCATTGGCCCTCTTGGCCACAAGGGCACACTGCTGGCTCGTGGCCGACCTGTCGTCCACCAGGACACCCAGGTCCCTCTCCGCAGAGCTCCCCTCCAGCAGCTCATCCCCCAACCTGTACCGCTGCATGCAATTATTCCTCCCCAGCTGCAAGACTCTACACTTGCTTTTGTTAAACCTCATCTGTTTTTTTTTCTGCCCAGCTCTCCAGCCTGTCCAGGTCTCGCTGGACACGAGGACAAACTCAACCCGGGGAGTTCCGGATGCCACAGAGAGACAAGTACCTATTCACAGCGTCTCTTTTCAGCCCTGCGGCGCCGATATGGTTAAAGAGCTCTCTGCAATTGTTCTTTAATTCCTCCCTTCCCCCACACAGATGCAGAGCATGACGCCTCTGAGGTAGTGGATGAAGCACTGGCGCAGCCACCGTCATTCAGCACAGCCAGGGGAAAACAAGAGCCCACTGTCAGAGCACTTGCCAACCTGTTGCGGGCAAAGTCACAAGACGAGCTCTCTATTGAATTCCAGCAGAAGCAGAGGAAGGATGCCCAGGGGATCCTGAAGCTACAGCTGGACAGCAATGAAAGGCTGATTCTGCTGGGGAACACTCTTGGCTGCATATAAAGGAAGATAGAATTTGAAAACCAGAACGTTCATTCATCCCTCTCACACACACCCTGAAAATCACCTGCTCTTAACTAACTGAGCTTCTAAGGAATGAAGTTTTCTCCATCAACAGTCCATGAGCTACTTAAGGTCACAATGCCACCTACTGACGATTGAAAGCAGCAACCGAGTTCTGCTAATCTAAAGCAACTCAGTTTTTCCATTAAGTAATTTCCTCTCCATTTCCTTGTATTTACCAACTGCTCTGATGGCTGAATTCAAGTCTTCCAAGTATTTGCTTCTAGATTGTATCTTTTCACCAGCTTTCATCTTCCAAGGGTTATTTCAGCTTCAGATATAGGGTGAGATTTCCTTCAGATTTTCCAAGCTGTTTAAGTGAAGGATTTGAGCAAGAGCAGTTAATCCCCCCCTCCATTCCCCCCCCCCCCCCCCCTCCAGTTACTACAGAATTGTACAGATTGTTTTTTAAGCCTTCTACTGTCACAAATAAGCACAGAATGCCTCTTCCCAAATCCATGCATCACCCATCTGGACAGTGTAAACAAACTTCAAACTCAGGAACTTGAAGGATGAGATGTTTTTCATACCCTTAACACCCACTTCTCAAGTCTGTTCATTTAAATTCAAGAAATACAAACACCTCTGCAAGGAGAAGCACTGTAGCCAAAGCAGGCTGAGACCTAGGGTAAGGAATGGGAGATAGATTCTGCTCCTGACTGCTGCCACCTTTGTGCAACAGAATGACAGTCCATATGGCATCCTCACGCATTACTGAGATGTAAATAACAGTAAAGGAGCTCAGTCATTTTGCACTTCTTTATTCCAAGCAGGTCACCAGAGAGAAGTCTCCATATTTGCACACAGCAGCAAGAATCAGGCTGGAACAGAGCACGGTGGCAAGAAGAGTCATGACACACACTAAGAAACTGTGCTGTGTGAGCCCCACCGGGACCCGCAGAATCAATTCTTCATGCTCCTACAAGGAAAAGTGAATTGGTTATGCACATTTAACCAGCTTCTGTTGTTGTTGGTTTGGTTTTTTTTAACTGCAACTCAGGGGAGCAGTAACTAGACTTCTATTTAACTTGGCTTTTGCTAAGGCTTGATTTTGAATCCCCAAAGAAAGCTGAGATGGGACACAGCCTTTCAATTCAGTGCCCTTACAGAGAGCCAGTTGCTCTTGTTGTACAGAGCTCAATAAATGTATCTACTCCATTGTAAATGGTAGGCATTTGCATGCTCTGTGGCTTTGCTCTTCAAGCATCAAGCTTGCCAGCAGAGATCTCTCAGAATAAGCATTCTGCAGATCACTGAGAAGCCATTTTTCTCCAAGATAAACAACTATTTGGTTTCTCTGCAAAACACTTTTGGATGACAGCTGTTGGTATTCTGAAGGTACCTTACATACAGGAAGGCACACATTACACAAACAAAAGATTTGTTATGAAACAAATTAGTCTTATTTCTGAATCTCTAGACTACCACAAAGTGTTCAAGTTTCAAAGGCAGCTGTTGGCCGTACTAAAAATCTAACTGACCTTGGTTCACCTTGACACTTATCCAATCTGATGGCCTTTTTTTAAGAAGTTATTCCTTTAACTTTTGGTTTTTCATGTCTTTTTTTTCCCCCCTGTTAGACTGCAGCAGAGTTCTCCCATTTTGAACTCATCTGAAAAAACCTACCCTGCAGAGGCCATTCTTAATTCAACTAGTGCCAATTACAGCACTGTCAATTCTAGGACTCCAACTCAACTGCTTAGGGGAGGAGGAAAACAAAAGAACAAATGTAAAGGTGAGGAGAGCAGCCACCACCAAGAGCACAGAACAGCACGGGATGACACCCATTAAAACCAGGTCAGAGAGGAAGAAGGGAGCTTCTTTAAGAAGTTACACAGTGAGGCTTTTATCAGTTAGGTCCCATGCTTTGGAAGCTGCTTATATCAGAAAAAGGCAGCAAGAGGCAAGAATTTCCTTCAGGAATAGGAACTCACAGGTTGGTGTGCTGCACTGTACCACTGACAGAGGTGCTCCTTCTCCTCTGAACAGGGAGCTTCCACCTCAGCAGGCTGCCAGCACTCTGGCGACAGGTGCTCTATGGAAGACAGATACAGTAGGTAACTAAGGATGAACCTCACCCACGGGCTGTCTTTAACAGAGCAAAGCAGCCATTGTTGAGCTGCAGATCTCTCAACTCTAACCACGCAGTTACAACTTATAGATTCCCCAAAACTACAGAAGTCATTCTTTCATGTCTTCCTGTTGACCTCCTGTTGTCGCATACAAGAATTCCCCTACCATAAGTGCTTTTATATCAATAATAAATACTCATTGTCAGTGGATACCAGGTTCTTGTTTCAGAAGAATCTGGGAACTACAACCACCACGGAACACGCTTCCTCCCTCTTCTGCACCATCCAAATGCAAGAAGAAAGGCTCGGAAACCACCAGAATACTTTGATTCAGCATTTGACCAAGTACCTGACAGTGAATAACTTTAAATACACCTTGCATGGCTTCAGCTGTCAAGAGAAATACAGTGAGAACACGCGGTCTGAGTGGTTTAACTTAAACAAAGCAGAACCTCACCGTCACAGCAGCAGAGCAGTATTTCTGCACCCTTCAGAGCAACCAACGCGTCCTCGCTGCTTTCTGCTGGCCGGTGGTAGCGCCCATGCACAGGCAGTGCTGCTCTGAAACAGTGCCAACAGCGAGGGTCGGGCTGCAGGTACAGCAGGACAGTAAGGTCTGTAGCTGAGTACTCAGGAGCCTCCACATCAACAGCATCAGGAATGAGCACTGCCTGCAAGCGAATGAAGAGACAGATATGGCTGCGACTGGAATCAACGCAGAAGAGGGACACGGAAAAAAAAAAGGTATGAACATTTTGGGTATGAATCTGAGATTAAGGAGGTCACAGTCTGCTGCTGTAATCTACTGCAGCATCAGAAGGGACAACTGCAACCCCTGCAGTGACCCCTGCCCTCCAGAGTACCAGGGAAAGTCTACTGTTGGCATTTATTCTGTGTGTACAGGCAGGGTGTCACAGAGCTTGCTTCAAACCTCCACAGCAGACAGCAAAAGCACAGTCACACAAACTCCTCTACTGAGTAGTGATGTTAAGTACTTGTGGTCACCTAAGACATCAAATTCCAGGGAGAACAAAGCAGGCTGTCTTTCTAGCTGGCTGTAAATAAACAGCACTGAGTATATGCCTAGAAGACAAACATCTAAAACAAAGTGAGCTGAAGCCCAGTCCAAAGTTATGCTGTAAGTTTGAACCAGTGTTTGTTATAAACTGTTTTACCACTATTACAAAAGTGTCCTGCTAAGAATGGAGCCCCAGTGAGTATGGCTGTGTATAGTTTTAGGGTTGTTTCTTACCACGTGGGCACAACCTAAAGAGACACATCGTGGAAGAGGGGAAATCTGGACGGTCCCCATTTAAAATGGGAGAAACGAGGACCAGCAGTAATCTGCACTGGAGTTAAAATCTAGGCATAAGTCTCTCAAGGAAGCTGTGATGAAACACAAGCTGCAAAGCCCCTCACTCCAAATCCACAGCATGTCACTTAAAGCCACTGTTCCGCTCTTTTGAAGACCCTGATAGAGAACCTTGGCTGGAAGACTGCAATCACTCTTCTTCTATAGAGGGTTAACCTTCCTTCTTTTCAGCCTGATTAACTTTCACCACAATTGCTTATCCAGTGCTGAGCAGCTTGCATCTACACGTAGGAACACCAGCAACCTATGACAAAACACACCCTGCACCAGGTGCTGCTGAGAGCTGCATCGAGAAGCCATAAACGTGATACTGTGCAGCATCTTTCAGGAAAGGGGAATGAGCCACCTCGGTTCTTGCAGCCCCCTGAAGAACACAGATTACACCTTCCTGAGCAACGTGCTCTTCAGCTACTGGCAAAACACAGCCTTTATGTGAGAAGCCCTGAGATCCTGCCTCCTTACCTTCGTCACGTTGTGCTGCTGCAGCGATGCCAGCTCATAGGGATCCACGTAGACTCCCCGTGGCAGGTGAGTTCTGGCAGCCACCGTGCACCCTTCTGTCCACTGCCCCGTCCCACTCAGCTCCACCTTCACCAGCAGCTCCCTTAAAAGCAAACCATGGGGGCACAGTGCTGAAACCTGTATGTTGAGAGACAGCAGAAAAACCTCCACGTGTCACGCTGCCGAACGCTCAGAGATGGGCGCAGATGGAAGAAAGATCACAAATACGTGAGAAATTAAACATCCCAGGCTGGATGTGGCTCTGGGCAGCCTGGTCTGGTGGTCGGTGACGCTGCACATAGCAGGGGGTTGAAACTAGATGGTCATTGTGGTCCTTTTTAACCCAGGGCATTCTGTGTGGGTGCCCCATCCCTGGAGGTGCCCGAGGGGAGTCGGAGGGGGCCCTGGGCAGCCTGCTATGGTGGGGCAGACGGGCCGGGCCGGGCCGGGGCTGCAGGATCCCCCCGCCCCACACCGCTCCATCATTCAGCCACAGCCCCGAGCCCCGCCCGGCGGCTCCACCTGTGGAAGCCCTCCTTCAGCAGCTCCTGCGAGACGGCGCTCCCGCGGCAGGCGGCCTGTACGTCTGAAACGGCACAGAAGGAGTAAATAGCTGCACCGAGAGCACGGCAAAGCTGAGCACGGCAGGCCGGGCGCTACGCCGGGCACTTACGGAGGGCACAGAGCAGCACACCCAGCCCCGGCCGCCACAGCTCGGCCGCCATCTTGGAGTCGCCCCGCGGGGCCCCGCCTCACCTCAGGGCGGGGGCTGCCGGCAGCACCGCCTGATTGTCGTGGAGGCCGCGGGCGGCCATTTTGTGTCGCGTTTCGCAGGCACTTGGAGCGGACAGCCCGAAGGGGGACTTCGGCGGGAGGACCCTTCGGTTACCGCGGCAACGGCTGAGGCCGCCCCGCCCGGGGGGTGTGGGCTGAGGGACGCCGGGCGGCCGCGCTCGGCGCCAGCCTGAGGAACCTGGGGTGCGTTCGTTCTTCCGGCGGGGACTGGCGGCAGCTTGGCTCCCGGAGATGGGAATTCCCGCTTGCTCGGCGGTCCCGCCGTTTTGTTCCCGTGTTTAATCGCTGCCCTGGGGGGAGGACGCATGCCGGGCGCTGCCGCTTGAGGGAGGTGACGCCGTGGTGAGGGCTGTGCTGTGCTGGGTTCTTTCCATCCCCGTCATTTCCATGTGACGCTAACGGGGTCACAGGCGACGGCAGAGCTGCCATAAGGGGTTCCCAAATGGGATCGGGTAAAAACGGGCTGCTGATGCCAGCCGTGCTTCTGGTGGTGAACTTTGTAACCTGATTCATTCAGCAGCTGACCAGCACACCTGAGAGTTTTGCAGTCCTTACCTAACAGCAAGCTGATCCATAACAGTCTGCTCTCCATCCACCTACAGGAACACAGCTACAGATCCACGGGGCCAAATGGTTCTTCCTCACTCCACCCTCTTCTCTACCTCTCAGGTATGGCAAAAGCTGAACCCACAGGAAAGCTTACAAAAACATGCTCTTCCTCTTACACAGCTGTTTGGTTTTTGTTTTGTTTTCTTCTAAGAAAGAGAATTCCAGTGTTTAATAAAGTACGCATGCAGGCTTCTCCCTTGTCACAATAAATATCTCCTAGGTATCGTTTGACTGTGCAATACTCAGCTGGTAGACCAAAAATTTCGCTTGTGTGTGATACAGAATCCTGCTTCAAAAGCTGAGAGGCGATAAGGGTGTAAATCAGCCATCAAGAGTCACCCTGCTCCCCATGCTCAGCTCAAAGAGCATGTGAGATGTGTTCAGGTTCCCCTGAGGTCTCCCCTGGGAGAGCTGCAGTGTATTTTTACTGAGCGTGGGTCACTCTAGTCCCAACAAAAGGCTAACAAGAGGCACTCACGCTTTTTTCCCCTTTTTTTTCCAGTTCTTCAGTGAGTGCTGAAGTTGATGAGGACTTTTCTGATACAACTGAGCACTTTTCAGCCAGCAGCAAGACCTGCAATGACTTGCATCGCAAAGAAGTGCGGCATTCGCTTTCAGCCTCCATCTGTGATCCTGATCTACAAGGAGGAGGACAAGACTCGCCGGCGCATCATGCCTGTCAGAAATTTCTCCCAGTTCTCAGGTGCACTGTTTCCACACAGCATTCCCCACTTCCTCTCCTCACACGGGGAAAGGAGCAGCTGGTCCCAGCACCAGCCAGTGGGGAGCATGCAGTGGGCAGGTTTCGGGTAACGCTGTCTCTCCGAGGAGGCCAGGGCAGCGTCTTAACCTGAGCAGCAGCGCTGCTAAACCTGGAGGCCTCGTCTGTAAGGGTTAGGGAGAGGATGATCTCTACTTAAAGAGATTTGCTTGCCTTTGTACTTCTTCAGGGTGGTTTTGTTTTTAGATTGTGGTATGGCTGCTGAGCAGCTGAAGAATAACCCTCGGCACAAAGCGTACCTGGAAGGAGTCTCACTGCGTCAGCTAAAGAAGCTGTACAGTTTGCTGAGAGGCCACTTGAGGGGAGAGAGTCTGGCTGAGAGCCTGGAAAAGATTCAGCAGGAAGAGACCATCGACCCCGAGGAGGACATGAACAAACTGGACGACGAGGAGCTAGCCAAAAGGAAGAGCATCATGGATGAGCTCTTTGAAAAGAACAGGAAGAAGAAGGACGACCCGGACTTCATCTATGATATCGAGGTAGAATTTCCACAGGATGAGCAGCTGGAGTCCTGTGGCTGGGATGTGGAGTCATGTGAAGAAGTCTGATTCCAGATCAAGACAACTAGATGGGCAGAGACAGATCCCATATTCCTAGGAGAGAACAATGTCATCCTGCTTCCTCCACTGCAGCTTCTTCTGTTTGTGCCGTTGACGCTCTTTACATTGGCCACAGAGAATCTGAGGCTTAATATTACAGCAGTTTCAGGTTTGTATACATTTTAAGAAGTTGAACTGAGAAAGCTGAAACAGGGCAGCTGAACGTGGTGGCTGTTTTTACTCTTTTTCCTATGTAAGATGCCCAAAATACTTTTAAATGATTTATCTTTCGTTTTGTTTACATCTCAGCCAGCTCTGGCTGAAAACCTCACCAACATGTTTTCCTGTGATTTCAGCTTTGTCTGAAAATGAAATGTTTAAATGTTTATATATTGGAAGTATTGCTTTTTATTGTCTGCCTATGGCATTTATTACTATTTGTTGGAATGTTAAATATACATTCAGATAAATCAGTGTTTCAATGAGAATATTACTGTCACATTCCCTCAGTAGAGGTTACACCTGCAGTTTCAGGTTGCACAGATTAAATCCTTCATTTAAAAGAACTGAATATTTAAAAAAACAAGTCTGTCTTGAAAGTACTTTGGAGATGCAGTGAATTCCAAGAGACAAAAGGAGACATTTTCCTTCCTTGCACTGCCAGGGATGGTGTTCACCTCTCAGAAAATGTGCTTACATGATTTGAAATAAATATATATAGATAGTACAGTAGAAAGCCACCAAGCCTAGGGGTGGTTTTAGGGTAAAACAAAGGCTTTCCCACTGCTGCCTCATCAGACTGCAGTTCCCAGCTCACTGTAGGCAGTGCCAGGGAGGCCCCTCATGATAAACCCTATGTGAGCAAAGCCTTGAGCCAGTGATTGTGGCCTGCAAAGTGACTTTTTAATTGATGATGGAGACAGGAGAAAGAAGCCCAGCTTGTCTCAGGCTGAATGTAAAGTTCTAGCAGCAAGAAAAATCCCAGGCTTCGTTCACCAGCTGAGGCTGTCAGACCTGAGTGTGGTTTGAGGGCAGCCTGCCACACAGTGGGAGGATGCAGGCATCTCCTTCCTCTGCAGGCCAGGTGCTCTGTGGGTGATTTATTGCATCCTGGGGGGAAGGTTGCAGAATGCCCTTGCTTTTGCCCTCCAACAGACTTATATATTATGTCTCAGTGTTCCAGAAAGGCCTCCCCCTAAAGAAACAACTTTCCTTAAGAAAAAAAATCCTCCCTGAGCAGCAGAGCAGCCCAACGCACACTTCCTCCAGCATACTCATGTATCAAGGCTGCACAGCCCGTGTTCTTACCCTCCATGTTTTGCATCTTGAGCAACGCAGGCATCTCCCCCTGCCTGAGGATGCTGATTTGTTCAAACCAGATTTTTGCAGTGGCTTTTTGCATGAATATTGCCAAACCTCACCTACCTTTTGTGTCTGCTCGTCCCACTGATTTTGTGTCCTGCTTGCCCACTGTCCAGACCATGACAGCCTCACCTGCCTGCAAGCATACAGGTGAGGACGGTGCACATCTGCATCCACATACCAAGGCCAGAGCTGGCAGGGAGGTACCGAAACGTGGCTGTAGTGCCTGGCACCAGTGAGAGCAGCTGGAGGACATCCAGGGCTGTCACTGCAGGTCTCCACTGCCCCTTGGGTGAGCTGCTCATGAGCAGGAGAGCAGCTGAAATAGGCTGAAGGATCCCCCAGCTGGCACTTGATCTTCTTTTAGCTATTTCTATCTGAAATAGGGCAAAAAACCCAGCCATATGCAAGGGTGGATGTGATGGCCTTCTCCAAATCTTTCCAGTGCTGTGCCTGGCTCTGCTTCTGCAGCGTCCCCTCCTGCAGCTCCACGCTCAGAGCTTGCACCGTTGATCGCAAAGCACGCACCAACCAGGAGAGATAAACAGATGAAACAACGTTACCAGAAATATAATTTATTCTCGTGTCTTTCGGCCAGTATTGTACTGAGCTTTGAGGTCCTGTCTCACTGGCACAGCAGGCACTGCCAGCAGTGGTGCCACCACCAGTGCAGTGTGGGACGGGGACCGCGCTGCTGGGGGAACGGTCACTGTCCCGGTCCCTCTGTTCTTAGTGGTTTACCCTAAGGCTGAAGTTGCACTGACAGATCCAGTGAAATAAGATCCGCCACTCTTCTCCGTTTTACCTTCTCACGTGTGGATTGCAGCCCTTGCCCTCCAAAACACGCAGATGTGAAACATTCACCGTGGAAGTTCACCTGCACAAGTGCCAGTTTTGTGTTGGCTTCTGGGCACGTCTCTGTGGTTACACATGGAGGGTGACCACAGCGGTGTGAATAAATAAAAGCAAGCACCCAGGCAGCCCAAAACACCACTTCTGGGCCACCAGACGGATGCAAGTTCTCAATCCCCCACCCGCTTGCTCGCCTTCACTCCCAAGAGGGCCCTGCGTCCTCCTCAGCCATCAGTATGGGCTGGACACCCCACACCGCCTCTTCACCATTTTCAGCAGCTTTGGCTTCAGCATGAGGAAGAGCACAGTGAAGGCCACCAGCAGAGTCAGGCAGGTGGGCAGGGCAAGCACCAGGTAGAGCAGGGCCATGTCGGCCGTCCGCCAGCGGCAGTCCCGCAGGACGGGCTCGGGCAGCAGCCATGCGCTCAGCCGCTGCGAGTCGTAGTTGCAGGTCACCTCACGCCCGTCGGGGACACGCAGGCGCTCCATGCTCTGCAGGGCCTCCCACCAGCCCAGCGTGCAGCAGTTATAGGGGTTACGGCTGAGGTAGAGCTCCTGCAGGCTCCTCCCCAGCGGCCTCCACGCCACGTCCGCGGGCAGCGCCGTCAGGCTGTTGTCCCGCAGGTCGAGGCTGCGTAGCTTCAGCGCGCCCAGCGAGGCGGGGAGGGCGGTCAGGGTGTTCCCCGACAGGTCCAGTGCCACCAGGCTCTGAAGGGCCGAGAAGTCCACCGAGGTGGAGGAGAGGTTGGTGTTGCGGAGGGACAGCACCCGCAGCGTCGCAGCCAGGTCCCGCAGCCACCCCAGGTCCCCTGACAGAGCCTCCCGGTTGTCAGAGAGGTCCAGATGAGTCAGGGCCGTCCCTCGAAAGGGGTGGCCGCCCAGGTCCCGCAGACCGCAGCCGGCCAAGGAGAGGCGGGTCAGGGTGGCAAGGCCCCTGATGTCCACGCAGGGAGCGCTCCGGCCTAACGCGGCCGGCTGGGGACACAGGTCGAGGCGGTTGTAGCTGAGGTCAACTGTAGTGATCTGCTTTGTGTGAGTGAAGATGCCGGCAGGAAGCGCCCGCAGCAGGTTGGTGCTGAGGTTGAAGAGCTGCAGGTTGGGCAGGGCGGGCCCGGCGCCAGCGTCCTCCCACAGCTCCGTCAGCAGGTTGTGACTGAGGTCCAGATCCGTCAGCATGGCCAAGGGGTCCCGCTCCGACACGTGGAAGGTCTCCAGGCAGTTCTGGTTGAGCTTCAGGTGGGTCAGAGCGGGCATCTTGGCCAGGAAACCCTCCGGCAGGTACCAGAATTGGTTCTGGCTCATGTCCAGGAGGTGCAGGGAGGAGAGGTTGCTGTAGCAGACTTCGTCCCACAGCTTGACCGTCGTGATGTTGGTGGAGTTGCCATCGATGAGCAGGAACTGCACGGTGACATTCTCCAGGGACGTGCCGTTGGGGAGAAGCTGGTAAAAGCTCATCTCGTTGTCCTTCAGCAGCAAAGAGTGCAGCTTGCTCTGCCGGGGCAGCACGGGGAAAAAAAGGAGCTGGTTGTGGGACAGGTCCAGCACCTCCAACTCAAAGAGGTCATCGCTTTCCAGGGCCAGAAACCACTCGATGATATTGTAGCTGACATTGAGCACCCGGAGCTGGGTCAGGTTGAAGTCCACAATGCATGTCATGTAGTTGTAAGCGACGTTGAGCCTCTGCAGCCTCTGCAGCCCTTCAAAAGCTTGGTCAATCTCAAAGATGTAGTTCCTCTCCAGGTTCAGCTCCAAGAGCTGCGTCAGGTTGGAGAAGACAGAAGAGTCCAGTCTCATGATGACATTCCTAGCCACAGACAAGGACTCCAAGGAAGACAGGTTGCTGAGCAAAACAGATACCATGCCCTCAGTGAGATGATTTCCAGCTAGATCGAGCGTCCTCAAGGCTGGCAAAGCAGAAAGAGCAGCTGCTGTTAGTGAGTAGTTGGTGAAGAGAAGATTGTCTGCCAAGGATAGCGCGTGGAGGCCCTGGCTGCCCAGGAAGGCACCAGGCTCGATGAGCTCCATTCGGTTTTTGGTCAGGCTGAGGTGCTTCAGCTGGTGGTATGAGAGCAGAGAGGCACGGCCCAGGACCCGGATAGTGTTGTCATCCAGCAACAGCTCTTCAATGTCACCTTGCAGATTTCTAGGGACGGAGCTCAACCATTTCCTCCTGCAGTCTGCAGTGCTCTGCACCTACAGCAAGAAGGGGACATGCAACACCTCACTGTGAAGCACGAGATGGGGAGATGATAAGACTGGGGATAACAGTGAGATGGAGGCGATTCCTCAGGTAAAGCCTCAATGTCCCACTCCAAATCTTAGCTCCAGTGCTAGGCCAGCAGCCTGGAGGAGAAAGCCTGCAGAAGCTGAGGTGCCTGGGGCTTGTAGAGGAGAATCAAGAGGTCGGAAGGGCAAGGATTTGCAAGAGGGAGGACTTACCTGCTCGCAACCACCAGGAGACAAGGCCCATGCTGTGCCTGCCCCATCTCCGCATCCTACTGCCAGAAGGACCAGGAGCAGGGAGAGAACAGGCAACAGGGCCTCCATCTCAGCAGAAGCTCTCCTGTGGGGACAGAGAAGTCAGGAGCTGCAGCACAGTCAGTTCACCAGCATCCCCAGGGCTCCCAGGACAGCAACGGTCACTCTTACCTTCCTGCTCACAGCACTTGGCCACCACAAGCTGCCCAGCTAACACCCAGAGCACAGGGATCCCCATGGGACAGGAGAAAGGGAGGGACAGGCAGCACACACGGAACACCGCTCTGCAGGGCAGATATCACCCAACCACAGCCAGCCTTCCCGGAGCTTGCAGCCTCCTCCCCAGTGCCAACATTCCAATCCCAGCACTATCTGGGGAAGTGCTGCTTTTCAGCACAAGGGCCCCTGTTGCCAATTTTGTGAGCCGGGAGCTGCCAGCATTTGCATCTGGGGTGAAAGCTGAAGTTCAGGCAAATGAGCAACGAGGGCTTTGCTGAGGGCTCAGCCTTCTCATAGCTGCTGGTGCTTGAAGAAGCGATCGGAGGTTATTTTTGGCTGCTTGGGGAGCCGGAGCCTCACGGCTGGAGGTAAGCCAGGGACACCTCCCGGGTTATCTCTGTCCTTGGGACAGCTGAAAGAAGGAAGCCGATACCAAATCCAGAGGGGACCGGAGAAAGACCCTTTTCTCTAGGTGAAAGCTAGCACCCCTCTGAGCCTTCAACCTCCACGCCAGGTCCTTGTGGTGTTCCCACCGTGGCACCACTCCTCAAGAACCCAAGGGTTTCAGCTCCAGCTTGGCAGCAGCACCCAACCCCCTTTTCTTTTCCCCCACCACTGCCTTGTTGCTGTCCGGCTTTGGCCTCCACTCTCCATCCTCCCACATTTTCGGGGGGCAGCTACTCACCACCCGTAGCAGCGCGCGGGGCCTGCAGCAGCTCATCCTGCGGCCTGCAGCCCCTCCACTGCACTGGGGGGTTCGGTGGGGCCGGATGCAAACCAACAAGGTGTTCTCCCACCCGCTTTCTGCCGAGCGCTGAGACGGGCTTTGCGGAAGGAGCGAACGGAAACTGCAGTCACATGGAGGCAGAGAGCGCGGCGAGGCGTTCACACCCCGGGTCGTGCACCCGCAGGCGGCCCCAGCTGCAAGGAGGAACCACGGGGTGGGGGCTGTGGGCAGGGCCCCAGGGCTCAGCGGGACCGGCCTGGGGCTGCTCGTGGTGGTTGGGTTCAACCTCACCGCATTTCCTGCGGGGGAAGAAGAAGAAAGGGGCCGATACCGTTCTCAGCATTCCCAAATTTGGGTTCCCAGATGCTGGGAGCCCGCCTCAGGACAGCAGCACCCAGCCTCTTGCAGTGCACAGGTTGGGATGCTCAGGGTCCTCCGTGGCTGCTCAGGATTTGGGTAAACGCAGCACCTCGGTGCAGGTCCTCGCCATCCCAACGCAGGAAGCTTCCAACCGATGTGGAGGTCGGGGTGAAGCTGTGCTGGACACCAACCCTCCTTTCCCACTGCCAACCTCCCCAGTTGCCCTCCCAGACATCTCGCTGTCTGGGTGACCCCGACCCATTGGACATCTGCTCACAGCAGCCCCCACGCGCCTGCAGCCAGCATACGTGACCTGGGAGATTTTTCTTTTTTGCTTTTACCCTGAATTTCATTTCTTCTCTGGAAGGAGGCTCAATGCTCCCGCATCGCTCACAAAAAAAAGGCCCCGTGGTTTCATTTCCTGCATTTTCAAGGAAGTTTGAAGTCTAAAAATCAAGAAGGAAAAGAGAGAAGCACTCAGCGTTCAAAAGCGAACCAGAGCAGATGTCAGAAACTCCGCAGTGGGGCAAAATTCCCAGGGTGTTACTCGAGGTCACCAGCACCAGCAGACAGCTGCAGACCCCTCCTGGTCCCCAGCCCACCACAAGGACACTCACCCAGAAGGAGAAGGGCAGGAGCTGACAGAGGGTGGCCTCACGGCTGGGAGGTCCCACAGCATCCTCACCACACATCAGCCTTGGAAAGAAGGAATCTGGAGAAGCCTGTAATGCTGAGTATTGCTTCGCAAGGCAGACTGCTCAGAGTGGAGTATGGAGTTTGCTGGCTCATTCGCCTTCACAGGTTCTCACTCCGACAGCTGCAGTCACCTTGGGGAGGTGGAAGAAAATAGCCCAGCAGAGCAAGCAGCAGCTCGAAGGGAACCAGGTGAGCCACCAGCACGAGCAGCTGCAAGCACAACACCTTCAGGTTGAGACACAGAGGCTGTTTGGCTGAGGACATGGCCTCCAATGCAGAGCGACTGTGAGAGAGGATCCCTCATTTAACCCAGGGCCCAGAGGGAAGGCAGAAATATGTCTCAGTAGAAAGCAAAAGGCCATTTCTGGAAGCGTGGGGTGGGCAGGAAGGGAAAGAGGGGTGCCGGTCAGCGGCCTGGCCACATCCACTTCCCAGCTCCCACACCCATCCCTGGCCTGGCTCCAGCACTGCGGTCTGCGCTCTTCCGTCTCCCACCTCCACCAACGTAAGCAAGGAGGAAGTGGGCCAGGGAGCAGGGAGCCACAGAAGCCACCTCGTTTCCCCCACGCTTCCCCAGCGGCCAGCATGAGGGCTCAGCACCGCAGACCTGAGTGCTGATGCGGATGCTCTGCACAACTGCTCACAAAGCACCTGCGGGAGCAGCGAGAAGGGAGAACTGCTGACCCTTCCCCCGAGATCTCTGCAGGAGCTGCAGGCCTTGCAAGTGAGCCGCTTACACCCACGGTTTGCTGCTTGCTTGCACGTTGCCCACGCTTCCTCATAGGGCTGCGTGGTGTGGACACACTGATCTCAGCTTTGTATCTGATCTCTGTGGCACTACCCAGCGCATTTACGCACAGTTTTGGCATAAACCTGTCACAACCAGAAGCTCTGAATTCACCCAAAGGAGGAGGTACTGATGAGGCACTCCATGACATCACCCAGCAATGCACGCTGGCACGACCCCAGCTCCCCTCCGCAGTCCTTTCCAGATGCTGTTCTGCTGAAGAGAAGTGAGAAATGGTGTCATTAGAGCAAAGGGAAGTGAAACCATCTCAGTTCTTGACAGAGCATGTCCCCTCTCTACTCCCCTGCTGGGCTATTCCTTGTCTAATGTAAGAAAACAAAGCAAACTGCCAGGTCAGGGGCTCCTATTTAACAAAGCCCAATCTGAAGTGACACCATCACACCTCAGAGCTCATCCCTGCAGCCACAAATGGAAAAGGCTCAGCGTGGGCTTTTGGGTCTCGGTTTGAGATTGTCCTCCTCCCAGACACAAAGACTCCCAGACACAAAAAGCACAGGAACACAAGAGGGGTAAAGCTCAGGGAGATGTGTCAGTGAACGCAGCAGATCCTCCTTTCCTCTGCTCCACTGTCAGTCGGCCCCTTTTCCCAGATAACAGCGATAGGACAAGAGGCAATGGCCCCTAAGTCATGCCAGGGGAGGGTCAGGTTGGATGGCACAGGCTGCCCAGGGGGTGGTGGTGTCACCATCTGTGGAGATGTGGCACTGAGGGATGTCATCAGTGGGCATGGTGGGATGGGTTAGAATTGAACATGATCTTAAAGGTCTTTTCCAACCTTAACGATCCTATGATTTTCACACTGAGAAGAGCAGCTGAAAGTCTTTAGTGAACAGCTAAAGGTGAAATGCAAATATGTCTGTTTGTCCTCCAGACTCACCAGGGCTCAGGAGACCATCTCACATGGGATCCAGAGAAAACCATTCAACCAACTGAGCATAATACCCAACAGAAAAACCAACAAAACCCAGACCAGTGCCCAGGGAGTGGTGCAGCCTCCTCTCCCCATCCCTTCTTGGCCTCATCTGGGCACCCACTGCCTGCTGCTAAAAGAGACACAGAGGCTGCAAAGCTTTACCCACGGCAGTATTCAGGATACCAAACAAAAACCATTTTGGTCAATATCTTTTCCTTATTGGCAGGTTTGTCCAGCACTCAGAAACACAAAGTTACACACTGACAGCCCTCAGGAAAGCAGACAGAGCCCACCTTCACGATTACTACTTAAAAGCTGTTGGTCTCCTAAGCATAGGATGCTGAAGGAACACCCCACGTCCCCACCTGCAGGCTCTCAGCTCCCAACTACCAACATCTCCCTAGCAGTGGAGGTGCAGCCAGCACCATGCTGTGAATGGGCAACAGGGGGTTGTGGCTGGAGTGCAACCCAGCTCCACTCTCCCTTATTTGATGGGTCTGGGGAGGGAGCACACACAGCACCTGCTCACCTGCATGGGTTGCAAACAGGTCTGTGCTTTGATATCAATCAGCTTTGTCTTCCCTCCATTCTCAGCTCACCAGCTGATGGGCTGATCCAAACAGACACAGCAGGTACTGGGGCTGACAGTGTGTCTTAGTGCTGGTCTCTACCTGAGTGTGAAGGCACGCAAGGGAATGATGTTGTAGCTGTGGCACACACACTGTTGTAAAACAGCTGTTTTCACATCTGCCCCCGGCTTTAATGCACACCTCTAAGGATGTGAAGGCTCCTGTGAAAATGAGAGCAGGTTCATGACCTGAAATCATAAGTTCAGGAAAGGATTAAAACAACAATAAATCACTTTGCCAACAGTGAAGCACCTGGGGACACAGCAAGGTACTGAGCAACAAAACGCTGCAGGGCACACCAAGGTCCCAGGGCAGGAGGTCCTTACACACCCTCAGTGCTGCTGTCTGGATGAAGTGAGGTGAGACTGAGCTGCAGAAGCCGGGAGCTCGCAGGAAGATCAGACGCTTCACACAAAAGACAAGAGCAGACAGGGTTACACCTTTGTACTTTCCTCCATTCAAACACTGCCTGCAGGTAAACACAGAACCAAAGAGCCTTTAACAATAGAAGAACAGTCTGGATTAAAAGTTAAAATAAATCAAGCAAACATGAAACAAACCCAGCTAGCTTGCAACAGATCTGCAAGTGCAGGCATGGCAGGAAAGACACCTTGTTCTTGTGGCTTGCAAAACTGCAGAACAAGCAACGCTTGTAATAACATACAGCAAGTTCTATTTTAAAATCCTCTTTCAACCACTGCAGTTGGATGGAATACATTCAATCATCTTCTGATGGCTTCACTTTGGACACCGGTGACAGACACCCAAAGGGATGGAAAGCAGTGTGTGACAAAGCAGACCAGATCAATATGGGACTGACTGTACCTGAGCCCCCAAACCTCCTCTGCCTCTGCAAGTGACCTCGGGCTCCCAGCTCACCCCATAACCTCAACCCTAACCGCAGGACCAAGAGTTCCAATGAAGAAGTATGTTTCAAAAGTGATAAAAGCAAAAGGAGAAGGGGATGTTGAATAGCAGTAGAGGTTCTGCATGAAGCATGAATGTTGCACAAACCTTCAGCCGTTCCAGTCGGTGCTCCCGCAGCACTGTTCACTTTGCCCTCTGCTGGGAGGTGTGAGAACTCGTGCTGAGGTCACACCATCCCCAGAACAGAATGACAAACGCTGCGTTGGGGAGAAATCAGCAGATTCAGCACCGTCTGAAGGAAAAGCCTTCGGTCTTTATTTACCACTTCATTAATTCTCCCTTTCAACTAAATTAGACCTTAGTGCCAGGTAGTGCCGGATAATTTCGATAAAACAAACACGTCGTCCTCCTCACCGCTTAAAAACTCGTTTTGTCACTGTGGAAAGGATCATAGAACACATCTCAGCAGTGCAGTTTGCTGGCAGCAGGTTGCACAGCACTGTCTGCTCTGTGCAAGAGCCAGCCCTGAGCCGACACAGAGCAGCACATGCAGCACTCACAGCCATGCTCCTGCTGGTGTCCAGGGCTATTTATAACATGCCAGCCTTGTGGAACTGTGGAACACGGGCTTGGAAGCAGTCAGATCAGCAGGAAGTTCCTTCCTACGCAGAGGAGAGGCAGATTCCATAGGCTAACAAAGGGAGAGAAGAGGAAGGGAAGTAAGCCACAGTCCCTAACACCTGAGGAAAGGGAGCACTTTCAAATCCTGAACTTTAGGCAAAGTGTAACAAACCAGAAGCTTACCTCCAGTTCAACAGCAATATTCCATCTTGCTGGGCAACAAACATAAAGCTCACGCAGGTAATAAAGTCAAAATGAGAAGAAATGTAAAGACCTGGCCAAAACTGAGGTGTCAGTATAGAAATGTGAGGGCTCAGGAAATCTGAGGGCTGTTGCCTCCCATACAGCTGCTCTTACATCTCTTTTCTCTAGGTATGACCCAACTCTTCCCAGGACAAATGTTATTTTAATTCACTGCTGCTGTCATCATCTCCGTGAAAGTGGAAGAGCAAAAAATAGAGAGAGCCATCTGGAAAACACATCCACATTTCAAGGCAATTCAGAAACACAGCTCAGCAGTACAGGGAGAGAAAATCTAACGTGTTCCAGTTGGCTGTGGGACTCCGAGGCAGAAGAACACAGCTACATCCGCAGCAACAGAAGCTCAGCCTGTGCACGGACACGCGGACGCAGCCCATCACATCACAGCCATCTGCTCCCCTTTTGTCACCTGAAACGTGGCCAAAAATTACAGCAGCAAATGGCATTTGCTCGCAGCAGGCTCATACAGGACTCCCAGAATTGCATGCACCACTGCATTTTAAAGCAGAAAAAATGCTTTAAGAGAAATCTTCCCAGCAGTGAGCTGTTTCCCCACCAATGAAGAAATACCAGATATCCCGAAGGACTGTGGAGCCTACACGTGACTGATCTATGTAAGCTATGGGCAGCTGATGTTTCTCTTGGCCAAAGCAGTCAGATCACACGCTGAGGAAGGGAAAATGCTCCATGCAGTTGTTCACTTGACTCCAAAGTACCTCACAGAATCCCTTTTTTCCAGCCCATTTTCGGCTAACCAACATCAGACCTCTTCTCTTCTGAACACCCTCATGGAGACATCAGCCAAAAGCTCAGCACTTAAAAGCTAATTCTCAGTGATTTTGGAAACTGCTTCAGAGCTCCCGACCACAACACAGTCTCCTCTGATTATTGATTATGGCTGCTCCAACTTGCACAGCATCTCAGCCCTCCTTTGTCGTTTGTTTTCCACATGATCTGCCATGTGTGGTTGGGTTGGAGATCCTGCCCCAGCCTGCAGCCTGTTGCCACAGCATCAGTTACTTTTCAGCTGTTTGGACCACAGCCATACACATGCATTTGGAAACAGATCACTGTGAAAGCTCCATGAGCTCCAGTGCCATTTCTTACCCTCACAAGCTGCCAAGAGCACATCTGAGCTCTCCTTGGTGCCCCCCATCTACTGAAACTTGTGTGAGCAACACCCACAGACTGCACGAAGCCCAGGCATTAAATTTGCAATTGATCTGCTTTGGCAAATCAAGAACTTGGTATCACAAGAGTGAAGTTCATGTCTACAGAGCACGGTCTGTGGGCCTTGTGCAAGACGGAATTCCTCTTTGCTGAACCTGGAAAAGGCACAAAGCTTGCCTTTGGAACTGAGAGCAGAAAAGGGGTATTTGCTCGACTGCTCTTCCATTGTCCCCCAGCAGTACACAGGCTCTGTATATTTAAATCATGTCACGCAGAGCTTATCGCTACATGCTGCTGCACACAGGTGGGAATGAAAAGCAAAACCATCAAAAACAGCACATAGAAACCACTCTGTTCAAAGCAGCAGCAGAAATACACGGGGTGCCCATTCCAAGAACTTACCCAGAACAAAGCAGCACAGCCTGAAGCCAGCCCAGCCCAGCAGAACCTAACACAGCATGTGTGCAAGCACCAAAAGAATCCGAGGAGGCACCATGCGCTCTAGGGATCAGCAATTCTTACAGTTAAGGCTGGAAAAGCTGCAAAAGAAGAAGAAAAAAAATAAGCAGGAATACCTCAGTATAGGATCTGACTACAGATATTAAATCTTACGCCTGCTAGCTCCTCATCCCACCAAAGCAGTCCTAGCATGGGAACAAGCTTAGGAGAGCCACAGGGAGGAGCACACTGAGTGCAGTGTGCAGGGGAGAGGAGAGCTGCCTCCTCCATTCCCTGTTCTCCTGCAAGATAAGGTTGTGCAGGCTGCCAGACCCCACTGCCTTGTCCCCCCCGTGCACAGAGCTCAGGTCATTCCCAAATCACTGTTCCAGCTGTGTGAATCTGGTCAGTACTCTAAACCTCTCCTGTAACCCCCCTTTTTCACCTCCCCAAACACAATCTCGATGTCTGCTTCCTTCTCAATACTCCAAGCCTGAAGTGTAGAAGATGAATAAAGACAGTTTCAAAATGATTTACCAAGTGGGAAGAGCTGCAAGCAAACGGCTGTCTGGTTAGTCAAAATGTGCTGGTGGAGGAGAGTTAAACTGGAGCTGGTAGCACAGATACCCTACGCTGTTCATACCTGCTACCTCCTCTCTCAGTGTGATGTTTAAGGATGGTGAACAAGCAGTCAAAAAGCACCTTCCAAGGCACCTCCTGCAACAGCAGGGCAGCACTGAGCCCAACACCTCCTCTGCTGCCCAGCAGTTCATATTGGAAGACCTCCAGCTGTGAAAAGGGGGTAATTTGAGGAGCACAGCTATCCAGCTCCCTGTAACCACCCTCGAGGTTCTCCCTTCCTGAACAGTCAGCAAATCGCACAGCCCCAGCACCACCATCCTCCTCAAGATAAGAAGTTTTGTTCCGCCACACCAAACCGCTGCGGAGGTCGTTGCAACAACACACACAGATGAGTCCTTGTGAATTATAGCAGAGTTTATTTTAATATTTTGTACAGCCAGCATTGGTCTCCAGGAATAAGTTATAGTTTAAGTAAGTGAGTTCCCCCCCAAACCCACCCTTAAGGAATGTTCAGCTTTCACCACATCTAATTTAGAGGGAAATAATTTATAGGGTAAGACGCAGTCTGAAGAATGGAAATCAATCTTCGTTTCACCAAACTCCTCCGAAGTTCTCAGGGTTTACTTACATCTAATTGGACTCACGACCAAGCACAGCAGCCACGGCCGACCGAGAACAGCTCGCACCTCAGCAAAGATCTTACTCTGTGAAACAGGACAGGATTTTGTTTCCCATTTCCCTCCTCCAGTTCTGCCAGGCACACGTGAGCCCTGCAGTTTAATCCAACCAACGCTCATGACTGGTTTTCCAGGAAGGTACTCACTTGGTGTCGGTCTCACTTCACCAGCCAGTTGCTCTCAGTACCATTTAAAACATCATTTCTCACCGTATCCTTTGTTTCTTTAACACAGCCAAGAGAAATTGAGCTCGATACCAAACTGCCTTTAAGCACTAAGCAACACATAAAACAAATAAATACTATAAATCCTTTTAAATGGTAATAATGCACATTCTCTGTTCCAGTGCACAACTTGGTTATTTACTGTGTAAAAAGCACTGCAAGGACAGCTCTTCTGCAGCACATGAGGCATCTCAGTTACCTGCTTTCCTCCAATTGCTTGAATAAAAGGGGGAAAACAAGCAGTGGCCTAAGAGACATTCCTCTTGCTCAGAGAACTGTCAGCATCCGAGATGAAGCAGCTCACGTTCTCCAGCACAAAACTAAGGAGAGGTTGCACAAAAACTTCATTCTCCCCCTCCTAAAATCACACATCGATAACTGAAACAGCCTGCTTTACTCTTGGAAATGCCAGCAAGAAAGAAATGGGTGCTGAGAGCCAGGCAGGCACACAGCTCTCAGATTTTAGTGCCCCACCAAAGGAGCCCTCCTGCAGTGCCCACAGACAGCACCGACCAGAAAGCATAAGGGTGCTTTTAAAACCTTGTCTTTTTGACGTGGAAATGAAGACGAGCTCAGCACTGTGCTGCAGCTTCTTTTCTTAAAGGTGGACCATACATTTTGGAAGAACAAAACTTCCAGGGCAATTTTGGTTGTGTTTCCCAGGGAGAACAGAACTACTGCTGAAGCTACGGAAGCTTTCAGCTACACAGAAAGAGAATCCACGCAGCACCGTACTCCACAAGGGCATTCCCAATGCTCTACAACACAACAGAAGAAGCACACTTACATGAATGTCATTCAAAGTTTTCCTGAAGCCCCTTCAAGAAATTCCACCCCAGTTAGAATAAAGCAAACCCTTCTTTTTGATGTAACTGTTCTTTTCGACGTGTTCCATATATACAATTCTTAAAATACACTTAAAAATAGCTGCACACGTTTGATATCGTTATACCAGAGCAGGGCAGCCTGGACAGACGGCTCTTCTTGGTATTTTAAAAACTGTAAGTAAAACCCAACCAGACTCGCTCTCCCCAGTACCCACGTCAGCCCCGAGGAGGGAAGGGAAGGGGAGGCACAAGCAGTTTTAAAATGGGAGTCTTTCACAAAACACACGACTTACAAACCTCGGGTTAATTTCCGCAAGCAGTTTTATATCAAATCCTTCCTTAAATATCTGAGGCCACGCACTGCCATCCTAGCAATGAAATCTGTTGCAACATGCACGTGTCAGCTTCCCACTCAATCAACTGCGACCCTGAGGATTTTTCTGGCCTGGTAGAAAGAGGAAATGTAACAATTCCTGAAGTATGGCTGGTCCTCCATTTCAAAATTCTGTATGGTTTCCTCGATGGTTCTTGGACACACGCTTATTTTTTTCCTCTAACACGTTTCCCTCTAACCAACATGCAGATTTCTCCTCCCAGTCATCCACATCGTGACGTCCCAACAAAACCATCCGTCATCCATCCAAAGGTTTTCCCAGGTAGACCAAAGTCACTTCTGTGTTACCGTACACGGCAGACACTGCTGGATACAGGCAAACTTTGGGCAGTCCTCTGAACGCAACTCCCAAGAACTCATAGCCCCTCTCAAACGCTAACGTTTTGTCTTCCATGTCCAGGATAACTCGAATCCTTTCGCCTATCTGGAAACAGAGATGGGTAGAGGAGGGAGGAGAAACAAACAGGCAAAGAGTCAATATATTCAGATGGAAACACCAAAAAAAGCAACCTAAAAAACAAACAAAGCAAAATCCATGGATAATACAGCAGAACAGATTAAAGCGAGGCTTTCCTTGCTGCTTTCACAACAGAGATGTCTCCACTCCTCTCGCATGGACCAGTACATCTGCTGCCTGCTCCTGCGGGCAGCCCAGGCCTAAGCATCCTCATAACACTGAACACAGCCCTTCACAAGCAGACCTTGCAGCAGCAGCACAAGCAAGAGCACAGCTCCAGAGCACCACAGGAGCCTGACAATATTGTAATAGCCCCAAGTAACTGGGGCTCTGTTGCCGGCAATGACCAGTAGAGGCTACAAAGAACAATGTTAGACAGGTTGTTTAGAAAGGTAAATGCCAGGTGCAGAATATTCCCAGAACGTACTTCTGCTGGCACGAGTGCTATCACTGACAGGGGTGCTCCCTTACCAAGGCAGACAAATAATTCAGTGCAAAGCTTGACAAAACGGGCACACAAAACCCACTATACAAATACACAGATGTGAGTAAAACCAATGCTGAATGCAGGCTGAACAGGATGCTCCCTGTGTTTGTCCCGTTGCTTTCAAATATAAACAGAAGCGAGAAGCACCAGCAGCAAATGCAGCATGAGATAGCACAAACTTCTGCTTCTCCACCAGACAACCGCAGTGCCGGGGATTCCTTCCAGCCAACATATTCTTCTTCTAGCCAATGCTAACAAGTGTGTATTTCCCTTCAGTACGTATTCTATGAGCAGATGACCGTACGTGTATGACTCCATGATTCTACGTCTCACCAAATAATACGAAATGCTTTAAAGGATTGCTGATTCAAGCCCTCACCAATTCTTAACAAGGAAGCATTGACTGCAAGCACAGCTCAGCCTGCAGTCCCCATGGGAGCTCTCCTGGCTTTAAAAGCTCTCCTCATCCTGCTGTGCAGAAAGGCCCAGACAGGCAGCAGGAACAGACTGTCAATGGGCAGGGCTGGAAAGGGCCAATTCACACATCAGGAAATGTGAAATCTGCATCTCTTTGATCCACATTTACTTATTAATTGCAGAAATGGCAGGTATCATTTCCAGACTGAACTAAGCGTTTGGCAGTGAGCTTTTACATGAAATTTAGAAATATCAGCCTTGAGTTAATGCCAAGATGTTCATGTACAGCTGAAGTACAAAGCATTATTCATCCCAAGCCACGAAACTGTGAGATGGAATTATACCGCAAAACAGCTGAAGATGCAACGTGAGGAAAACCATCAGCCAAAAGGCGGCTGTGTGAGCGGCCTGGAGAACAAAGATAAACACAGCAAGACAGAACAGCAGAGCAGCACCTGTGCTTTGGTAACCCAAAATCACCCACACGTCACGGCCCGACCAAAGGATGTCACCTGTGGGAAGGCGCCCGGAGAGCCAGCAACCAGCGCGTGGCTCGGGGAGGCCCTGCCTCAGCACGGCCTCTGCTCACACCGCCTACGGGGCTGAAACAGCCACCGACAACAGCCGCCTCGCTGCTCCTGAGAGCGATGTCAGCTTTTGTTTCAGAGGGGATGCGGTGTTCCAATGAACGCCCACTCGGTATTTGAGAAAGAAGGCAGAAACAAAGGAAACGGGCGCAGAGGAGAGTGGCTGCCTCATCCCTCATCCTTGCTGGATGGGACCGTGGGCAGCCTGAGCCGGTGGGGGCAGCCAGCCCTCTGCAGGGGTGGCAGCGGGTGGCTTAAGATCCCTTCCAGCCCAGCCGTCCGGGACGGCCGCGGAGGTGGTGAAGATGAAGCTAGTCCCTCCTGCAGGGAGATGCCGGGGCGGCACCCAGCAGCGCACGGAGGGCCCACTGCCCGCTCACCTGGTACTTGGGCGCGTTGTTGCACTGCGGGAAGCTGCCGTTCACCTCGCCGTTGTGCAGCAAGTTATTGTCCACCAGGTTCCAGCCCCAGCTCTGGTCGTCGCTGCCCAGCAGGGCCACGTAGCCCTGGCACTGCATGGCCGCCCGCTTCGTGGCGATGCCGATGACGGCCACGGTGCCCAGCGGCCCTTCCCACCACACCTCCCAGGCGTGGCGGCCCTCGCTGAAGCCGATCTTGGTCCTGGCGCCGT